TTTTTTTTTTTTCTTTTTTAAGTAAAACATTATATATTTAATTGACTTCTTTATATGAAAAGAAAATTTATTATATTTGTTTTTTAAAAATAGTATAATATTTTACTTTGGAAGTACTTGATAGAAAGATATCTAAGTTATTTAATAGTTTGAGTATCGATTCTATTGTGATACATTATTTATAGATTATCTAATGTAAAGTTTCAGACTTTGGTTTTTAGTAAATATGTTTTTTTGTGGAAATTCAATGAATCTTTAATTATAGAAAAATACTTTCTAGAAGAGCTAATATTTCAAGTCAATATCAAAATTTTAACAATAAATGAAAATATGTATCTTATGAAAAAGAAAAATCCTATTGATTACCATCAATAATCATATCTATGATATCATATTACAAAAGCAGATATTAACATAATAGTTCGACTCTATTTACCTTTATTATTTATGTTTATTCTTTGACGACCAATTGTCCACGTTAAATATAGAACCTATTAGAATGTCTCACTTGTTCCACTTATTCATTCACTTATTTTAAATTTTGTCTGCTGTTTGGTCTCATTTTCGCATCATCAACATTTAGTCGGTTTCTGTTACACAGATTGTTGTTGTGAGACAACCTTCATGCATAGAGTTATATCTATTTACATTGATATTCAATCTGTCTTTTTTTTTCTCTTCTCCTCTCTTTATCATACTGAGAAATAAGATGAACATATATACATAACTTTTGACTGATTTTGTCGTCATTTTCTTTTTCTATATTTTTACTCTACTTTATGCTCTTTTTCTAATCTAAAAATTAAAATGTAGCCTTTGAACTACAAAGACTTTCAAGGCTGCTTCTATATATACTTCCATACGTAATGAACATGGATGTACACAAAAATAGATTCTCGATAGTTAAATCAATCGATAACAAGAATGATCATAGACAGAAGAAATAATTGATTTAGAATACTATGACAAGTTATGCAAAGTTACTCAGACAGACTAAATGATGTGTGCCAAAGCTATTATATTGATAAGTATACGAACAAATGGGTATGAAAGTGAAAGGTTACGAGTAGTATTTAAGTTGATATAGTCAAATAAATAATCTATGAGCACGATATCACGCTCCATTAGTTCAATAATGACTTTGAGAGGTTGAGATTGATTATTAGAGTTCAAAACAAATGAATGATTCAAACTAATTGAATAATCTGTCTCTTCAAATAATGAAGATTTATGATTATTTGAAATATTTAATACGAAATAATAAAAAAAAATCATATTCAATTTATTATGATTAAGTTTTCTTCTTAAATCATCTATTGACCTTGATACATATTAATCGTTCTATTTGTTTTTTTTTCTTTTCTCATATATATAGCTATATTTATTTTTAATATTTCTTTGTTCTTCTATTTAGTCGTTTGCAAACATACTCCATGCACTTTGAGTTTATGAATAGAATAGATGATTAGCGTTTTTTTTTCTTTGTATCTCCTCGGGTTTTTTTTACATGTAGGTAAAAGAATTGAACTTCATTCAAATTAATTTGTGAGATTGAAATATATATATATATATATTCGATAAATTAAAATAAGTCTATAGATGACATAATTAAATGTTCTGAAACTATCACCTTGACAAATACTTTTATTTTTCAAGTATCACTATTGACTTCAATTTTAAAAAAAGCCGAACCACTTTCAAAATACATAGAAACGATAACCAAATAAGCAAAAAAAGTCATTTAACTGAGTATTCATACTTGATGTTCAATTATATATTTGTTTTTTAATACAACCTGTATACTTTTATATTATTACTTGACTTTAGAATTAGAAATACTATCATGTAAAAGTCAAAAAGCTGATTGTGCTATTATTAATTTATCTCGGATAACATGACTTTTGTTCGTTTGTAACATAGAAACGTAGAAGGATCTTTTTTCAAGAAAGTCAAGGATAATATTACAGAACAGTATTAGTGACTTTCTTTTTTTCTAATTACGACAACAATTTGAAGGACAATACCAACAGAATAAGCTCTTTTTAGAAATAAATAGAATTTCATTTATTATATATTTATCACGTTTCTAGCAATTGATCATGTTTCATTTAACAAGTAGTACTCTATTAACTTATCTCACTACTCAATGTTTCCATCTTATTAAAGCAATTCAAGATTAGAATCATCATAATCAATTATCATACAAGTGTTTGTTATTAATCATGTGAACTTAGTAGAAAGTGCTTTCGTAATCTACAATATTCCTCACCGTTTATATTCATCAATAAAATAAAAGTTATGAGCAAATTTTACAATGATTTAAAACTCTAAAGAAAAATAGTTGTATTATGAAAACACAATCCAAATGAGATACTGTTATTTTATTCGTTCCAAAATATATGCACGATTTACTGTTTGTTGATTATTTGAAAGAAAAGAAATGAGTAGTTGTTGTTACAATTGATGCATCGTTAGAACAAAAATTTCAGTAAATTTGCCAAACGTCATATAACACTAAGTATTGTTAATTATTTAGAAGGTCGACATTACTCGAATGAAAAAACAATATGTAAATTCTTTACATTCAAATATTGAAAAATATGTGATTGATTTACTATAAATAGAACAATTTTTAGTATCAATTGCAAGAATTCGAGAGGACATGGGAACTCTAATTTCAAAATATCGGAAACCAATTCATAACAGAGGAATATTTATTAAAATCATAGTAACGTTACAATGAAGGTTGTATTGATACTTCAGATTTTGTTGGAATTGTTTCTCTTTTATTTTAATAATACACTAATTGTCACAAAGACTACTTATTTATTTATTTCTCTTCTTCGAAATAATCAACGGAAAGTAAATCGGTATTAACTCACGTTTGTGAATGTTTCTTTATTTATGGTTGATAACAAAATCAGCTTATTTAGTCAAACTATCATGAAATAACTTAATCTGCTTTTTTTTAACAATAATAATTTGAAATCAATTTGTTTTTATTTTTTATAAAGTTTTAAAATAACGATAGACACAGGTATAATAAACCAAATAATCTATAAAAAGTTTGATATTTTTTACGTATATTTCATGTCTAATACATAGAATTATTTTATGAGGATTGTGGAGATTTGAATGACTTGAACGGATAATTTAAATGCCTGAGAAGTCCTTGACTCTAGTAATAAATAACTGCTTTTTTTTTCATTGAACTATTTTTACAAGGGAACATAGAAAATAATTCTTTCTCGTCTGCAAATGTCATGAAGGATATTGTTTTTAGAAAATAAGACTGGGATTCTTTACAAAACCGTATGAATGTGTTTAAATTTCATTTTTGACAAGAATTGTATAAGAAATCTTTTTTTTTCGAATATTGGATAATGAATCACTGTTAAATAGCTTTCTAGATTATATGAATATTGTGTTGATTATTGCAACGATAGACTTGATGAAGTAGCCTACTATTATCTTCAGTAATGAAGGTTATTCAGTTACTTCATATCTCCAAAAAGTAATTATTTCACATACAATGACCGCTTATTTGGAAGAGAACAAGAGAGAGATGAGTACAGGAAATAGGTAAGGAAAATCAGCGGAAAGTGATATCTATATTGGTATAATCACAACATTGATTAATGATAATGGTTAAGTTGTCTGCTAACACTCTCTGTTTCAGTCAAAGTCGTTATCTCCTCCACTTTTGGCAGAGAAGTTCCGCTTTTTTTATATGAAAAAATGGAGGTAATAAAATCTATTAATATGATTTGTGGTAACTGTTGTCTACATTCTGTTATTGCCTATATGATACATTTTGTGTTCTGTTCCACCAAACAACGCCAATGTCAAGAGTTTTTTTCGAAAATGAGACATTCATCCAATGGTTTTTTGCAATTATATGTCAATAGATTTAATAGTTGTAGAAATACAAATTCGTTGAAATAGTTCATTATCACATGAACATGCACCAACATATGCTGTCTCAAAAACAGAATTGCTGGCCAAAAATTATTCAGAGTGTATGAAACTAACATTTAAAAACTGATGTGCTTAATAGATTATGCATCTTCTTTATATATTATTGATTATGTTTTGAAGCTTTGAGAATAAAAGAGTGCCATAGAAAGAAACAGCAAGTTATATAAACCAATAAAAATGTGAAAAGCTCACAGAAAAATAGCTTTCTAAATTGTTTTTGCTTTTTTTGTGACTTGAGAAGGTTGTAGCACTGATGACTTATGAAAATTATATATTTTTCCTATTGATATGACTTTTATTTTATTCTTTACTGATTTTGTTAATAATTATAACAGATAATTAATTAGTTTTCTAAGGATTTTATCTTCGATGTCAAATATTGTTGCACGATTCTTTAAAAATTACGATAGTTGAACAAAAATAAGAAATATCTCATTTGAAAAATATGTTTATAGAGAATCCTTTTAGCAATGCATTGTTTTTCATAATCAAAAAGATTATTTGCATTTGATACATTCACTCCGACGTAAAACTCAATACACATAAAACCTATGGATATATAAAAATGGATAATTGTGAGAAATATGTAATGTATAAATTCAAAACGAAATTTATTCGGGTAACTAAAAACAAAGTAACAAATAAAAAAAAGAACAACGAATAATATAAGACGCTGCAAGGTATTCATTTTGATTAATAGATCATATGTGATCAATTTATAGAATTGTATTTTTCACTACATATACATATTTCTTCTAAGAAAATAAGGACAGCTGGTTTCTTTCTACTACATGAAATAATGTGATATTCCTCACCTTTAAAAATGAATTGATATATACACAAAAGTTTAAATCTCGTCAGATTATAGCAAATTATGTTTATTTTTTAATTAAACACAAAGAAAAAAATGTTTTATTTTGCAAGTATAAATACAATAATAGCAGTATAGGTTTTAATTATAGCAAAGCATAGGATTTAGGAGCGAAAATAATGCTTTGTATTCTTTGTTTCTTCTTCGAATTTTAAATGTTTGCATTATGTTGTACTGGTTTGAATTCGGTTTCGACATTTGTAGAATCAGCTACTGATGTTGGAGGTGTTGTTGTGAGGTTAGATGTTCTATATGAAAGTGATTAATTTAATAAATATTCTTAAAACAAAAATATTTACTCAGTATTGATTGTACTAACAGTAGTTATATTTTCTTCATTTTTCGTAGGAAATGTTGGTGTCGATATTAATTCCGATGGACTACATTTAAAAAAAAAACATTTTTTTGTTTAAAATCAACTTCTAAAATTTACCTTCTCACAACTAGTTGCATTTGATTATCAACAACATTAGTAACTTTTTGATCATTTGTTGTAATAACTGTGTCTGTAACAGGTGCATTTACAATATTTTGTGGATTCTCTATAGTTTGTGCTTGAGAAGTAATTATAGTAGTAGTTGTTGATTGTAATAAATTTTGAACATCTTGTTGATCTGGTACAACAATTTGATCTGTAAGACTAGCAATATTTTGTTTAGCTAGTTCTTGTGCTTCAACTAAAGCATGTAGTTTATCGGCATTAGCTTGATTATTTATAGTATCAATTTGTTGTTTAGCTTCAAACATGATTAATTGTTGTCGAGCTTGTAAATCACGTTCTAAATCGGCTAAAGTTTTAGCTTTAACAGCATCTAATGCTTCAACAGCTTTTTGTAATTGAAGTTTATATTCATTTTCAATGATTAAATGACGTTGATTTGCATCAAATAATAATTGTTCTTGTTGACGTTGAGTATTTGCAAGAACATCAGCAATTGAGTTTTTAATCTATATCATAAAAAAAAAAACAAGTTTAATGAAATTTGATAAAAAGAAACGATGAAATTACTTGTTCATTGATTTCATGTGTACGTGCTCGAGAATATTGATCAACTTGTGCATGTGTTGTACTTAATTGTGAAAATAAACTAACAATATTAACTTTATTATTAATTGTTAAATTTGCTTGAGCTTCAGATGATATAACAGAATTAACACGAACATCATCAACAATAACTGATGTATGAAGACTTTCAGCAACATTAGCCGATTTAACTGCTACTCCTGTAGGTTGATCTGTTGCAATATTTTGTTGTTCCGGTTCAGGATATGTACCGAATAAAGCATTAAATATAGCTGCCATAATGTTATCTTTTGCAATAGTGTATTCAGTATATTCTGTATAGAACTAATGGTATCCCTAAAGAAATGATGAAGCTTATATAGTGCCATGATTTTCTTCCTGTTTGTATTTTTTTTGCGCCTGATGTGTTCTCGCACAGTGAAAATCTTATCCTTATTACATCAATAATAAACATTTGTTTCTCTGTTTTTTTCTTTCCTTTCTCATTACTAATCAGAGATCCATCTCAATCGAGAAGTACGGAAAAAAATGCGTAGATTATCATTACTAATCCTACTCGAATAGAGTAGGGAAATTTGATCCATGTACATGAGGTGTAAACGTCATGTTGGCATATAACGAACAAAGTTCGAAAGATTATTATTGTACAATATGCGTGTTAAGAATAAAAATAAATATGATTATTTAGTAAATATTGATCTAATTTATAACACAAGTATTTTTATTGAAGACCATGAATTGAATTATTTTTATTGCTGAAGGAAATAAGATCATATTTCATGTACTCTTTGTATCATCAATGAATATATGTCAAGAGCAAACAGTACATTACATAACTCTTTTCTCTTGTTGAAATTGATATTTTTTTCTGTTTTCGGATAACACATCAGATTTGCGCCGCTAAAAAAATACACTTTACTACGATTATACAATCACTGTTATAGAAGATTTCTAAGCGATTTCTTTTTCTTTCAGAAAATAATACAGTTTTTTCAATTCGTACCTCCATAACCTTTAAATTCATTGTTATATAAAGAATCGTATTAAATCAAATAATATATAGAATTCAGCTGATTAATCAATATAGTTACACTTTCATGAAAATAATCATGCAAATGATTACCAATAAAACGGAATAGATATTTCTCTAAAAATAGAAATTTAATATACCCAAAAGATCCCATGGAAGACTCATTCACATGCCACTAAATATCACTTAATCTGCCTGTTATTGCAAAGTATTGCGATAAAAACAAACGCTTACGATACATTCAATGAAAAAAAAATTTGAATATTGCTTTTCTGTTGAAAAAAATCTAGTTTCGAAAACTATTTATATTATATCAAACGTCTAGTTAACTCTTGAAAGAAAATTATGACAAACAATAAAACAAAAGTATTGTCTGTTTAATTAACATGACTAATTCCTTAAAACGAAAATTAATTTTTTTTTCAAGAATAAAAATAAGATTCAGTTGAAAATAAAACTAAATCACATGGAGATCAATCTCGTTCCATGGGTCCCTTGTTTAGGACAAAGTGCTGCAATAGGTTTTTAATAGAATAGATTCGCTCATGACTAAATAACTTTGTATGAAAAAAGACATTCCATGGTGTGGAAATATAATTGGAACGGTTCATGGCTGCATGACTTCGATGAAGAAAATCTCCAAATTTTGATTTTGTTTAGATAACACTCATTGTAAAGTACACATTTTACATGTGTTTGTGAGTCCAATTCTTCCTCATGTATATGTTTAGAGGGCAAGAAAATTTCGTTTTTAGATAAAATTATGACTCAACATTTCTAATATGAATTAAAATTGTGACATGCAAGTTAAGAAATTTGTCGGTAGTTGAACGTCTTCCATCAATGAGTACTCATAATTAAATCTTTTCGATTCATCCACGACTATCGCTCTCATACCATTTACTCTTCGAACAGTTACTTTCGCAGCATTTTTATTTCTTATGACTCTTATAACTACAAGCAATCAAAAATCAATTAGAAAAATAGTCCAATTAGGTATAGACTTGATGCTCATACACCATATCATGAGAGCAAGTGCCGTTGAAAACAATTGTTTTTCTATTAAAATACTTCCAGTAAAAAAAGAAATGTTTATTACGCAAACTGAACACTACATTTGTAGATTAATCTTTGAATTCAATAGAGTATGTAATTATAATGTCGATTACACTTGAATCACTAAATTCAATATGTCATGAATATATATGTATATAGTAGATGAAAATTCATAAATTATTCATGTAATAACCTACATAATTATTTAAATATGAGCCATCAAGTGTGATAAAACTAAACTAAACAAAAAAAAATTTACTGCATTACAATTGTTTATTCAATCATATATAAATCGATTACAATGTTCAACTGACTCAATTTAAAAAAAAAACTTTATAAGCATTACAATAATGGTATTAATTGTCCAATAGCTTGACATGTGTGTCCTAATTTTAATCCTCCATCATATCTCCACCAAAAACTTATATTAATATATTCATCTTGAATAACTTGAAATGTTTGTTGTATATAAGCCGGATAGAATTTCGAAGCTCCATATAGATATGCAGAACCTGTATGAGCTAAATTTGTTATTGTATCTACATATGTATCTGGTGTAGAATTTGATGAAATATTAAGTGTCCATCCAGTTAAATTCGATTCAAATCCACCATTAATGATAAGTTGAATATTATCATTTTGTACTGCACTAATATCATCAAAATACCAATGACCAGATATTGTATCATGTTGTAGAGCAAATTGAATAGTAAATGATGTTGATGTTGCCATTTGATAACATGAATAATAATTATAAGAAACTTGTCCATTACATAATGGATCAGTTATATTAAACATTTGCATTGGACATAGCCAATTATTTTCTGAAGATAATGGAGTTAATATGGATTTGAGATCTAGAACTGAAAAGAATTTTTTTAATATAGAATTAAGACTCTTAACATTGTTTTAGAAGTTGATTTGAAATCATCTAACAATAATTTTTACTAAAAAAAAGAAAATCTGTTTTTTGTTTTGATATAAAGACTTACTCTTTCCACTTGAATCCGTAGATCCATCTATAAATGAACTATATATTTGTTAAAATAGAACTTAAATTCTCTTGACTCACTTCGAACAACAAATATCGTCACTAAAACTGCAACAAAAATACCAATGATAAGAATTATTGATATTACTGTAATTATAATCAACATTCGTTTTGATAAACATGTGTTGTCATCACTATTTCAATTAATTAATTATTCTTATATGTATATATATATGAAACAAAAGCTTACCTATCGTTAAAATTATCTGTTGAATAATCTCTTGATTGACTACTTGATCGTGTTAGTGATGATAGTATTGATCTATCTATCGTTTCAATATCGTAAATCTGTGTTGCACTAGAAAATCTTGACAACGGAGTAGGTTGACTATTATGAATTGACACTTGATTTATTATGGTTTCATTTGGTAGTCGATTTCTACTCTAGATGAATTTTTTTTTACATAGATATTGTTGTTTATTTTTCGCAAAAAAAGAAAAGAACAAGACTAACTTGATTTTTATTGTGTTTTTTTTCTATTTGATGCAATCTTGAATCAACGTATCGCGATGATAACTTTGTAATGATTTAAAAAATGAATTACAACAATCTTAATTAAAAAAAAAAACAAACCTCGATTGGTTCTACTCGGCTAGATTTTCTCGATTGAAAGCTATGTTTTTTCTTTGAGAACAAAAAAAAAATCGATTAGTCTATTATGTCTATCGATTAATTTTATCTTACATGTGATGATCGTTTAGAATCTGTATACCACAGATTATTATTATTACTATTAGTCATATGTCCTTTTTGATATGCTTCGTTTGCTGCTATAACATTTAACACCCATCGACCTGTTTGTGCTTCTTTTTGTTTCTCAGCAGCAAGATATTCATCATAATATGGTGGTTGAACTTTTATGCTTGGATTAACACGTTGAACAGATACAGGACCGAGTCGATCAAGAGTTTTTGATTTTTGTATATTGAAATCAGGATATATCATCGTACCATTACGAGTTGTTGGCTGTGATCGATTAGGCAATGCTTTTTCTTGCAATTGATACCTCATGATTATCGAAATACAGTTATTTTCGAAGACAGATTCAATTCAAATAAAACAGTCTGCCTCGTACATGTGTAAAAATAGTCAACGATAGGTTTCTTTTCTTTTTTGGATTAAAAAAAAAATAGAATCATTGTTAATAAGAAAAAAAAAGACATCATCTGTAATAAAACAGATGGATTTTTTTATTTATAATTCGAAGAAAAGAAATGCACAAAAAAGTTTTTTTCTTTCAGAACAAATATAAGATTATACAGAAATTTGTTTAATAATTTTATTTTAATTTTTAATTAGATTATCCCTCTGACAGAGTAGAAGAAATCTATATAACAGACTTTCTAGAAAATAATTTATTGATCTCTATCTCAAATGATGTCAAGAGAAATTTATTTCTTCATCATAATCAATATGATCAAATTCTATATTATTTCCATGAAACAAAAAAAAACCAACACAATGCATGTAAATATTCAAACACTTCAAGCTAATACAGTCTTATAATAAGAAAAAAAAAGAATTTCAAAATCAAATCATAATAACATATTGTTTGGGATAAAATTTTTTGTTTTCTTCCTCGATTGAATTACTTTGAAATTGTTTTTAACAGATATTTGTTACAGAACAAAAAAAGAATGAGAAATTGATTTTTTTTTTTTTGTTGTTGATTGGATTAGATTCTGAATTTATGGAAATACAGACGGTTCACATTAACTAGCTGAAGAAAAGCAAAAGTTGATTTATTTAGTATGAAATATATTGTACAAACAAATTGATAATTTTAATTCATACAATAAATATATCAATTACTTCTAGAAATTGTCGTTGACATAAAATATTTGAAAAAGCTATTTCCATCTTTTGCGACTGTATACATTAAATAATCTAAATCAAACTCTACCTTATAAACTCTTGCTTGTGTTAATGAACCTTTTGATTGATACAAACATGGTTCATTCGTACCAAGATTAAGCACTGATACTGATATATAATTGACTTGATTTACACCAAACCATATTCGATTACAAAATGGATCCATTTGTAAACGATAAAGTGGTATTGAATTAGGAAAGGTATTAGATTTTAATGAAGCATTAAGTAGATCAATTATATAAACGATTGATAATGAATATTGTGAAATATAAAGATGATTATCAAATATAACAATCGTATTTGATGAAATATCGTATGAAGTCAAATTAAAATATATTGACAGTTTGTGTTGTATTTAAATCAATAGACCAAATTAAACTTAAAATATCATCAGCTAACAAACAATTGATTTTTCCATCTTGCTAAGCCATATAAATGAGAAGAACTAGAACTTATTGGTCTTACTATAGACCGAATAAATTGCATATTTAAATTATACTTATTGATACTCATATTTCGAAAAAATGAAATATAGATATTTATTGAATCAATACAAACAGCTATTGAAATATCTGTTACGAAAAAACTTTAAAATCGTGTTAAATTTGATACAAAATAATGACCAATAAGACTATCTCCAATACAATTGATCTGATGTAGAATTAAATGAAATTTCTGTTTCTTGAATCCATGATGTTCAATTTGTTGACATGAATTATTCGATGGAAAACAATTAATATCATAACATTTTGATATTGTTGAATTGATTTGTTTATTATTATTTAAACAATTGCAAAGACAATCAATGCATTTTGAATTTGATGTTGAAATTAAACTTGTATTTATAATTACAGAAATATGATTTATAAAACCAATTTGTATTAAATTAATTATGTTTAATATATATAATAGAAGAAATATTATAATAATCATTTTTATCATTGTCATAGGAAAATTTTGTTTTTCTTTACTATTCACTTCATAGAGAATATTTACTAGATGGATTTTTTTTAATCGTCTAACAGTTGAAAAATATATACATAAAAAGTTTATTTTATTATGAAAAGAAAATTTTAACAAAAAAAAAGAACCATTAGTTTAATTGAATATGATTATTCAAGGAAAAATATATTCCTAATTATACAAAGTGTTATTGTAAACAAAGAACAATTAAGCAAACATTAATTATCTTGGTGAAATTATTCTACAGACTTAAAAAAGTCGAACTTCTCTACTCTAACTCGAGACATATCATATCTGATTTGAGAAATAATGAGCAAATAAATAGCTGTATTAGATGTTAGAGAGAAAAATGAAAATTGATTAAACTTTTGAATATCATTGTTTATTCAAGATACTTCAAATGACTAGCAAGAACTTGTCACGTAAAGAGATTCTAAATTTAATAACAAAAGAAGAAAATTCTGTTAAATTAGTAGTATAAAAAACAAAACAAAGAATAAAAATAAAATTTTCATCAAGTTATTTTACATAAGAAAAAAATGAAAAGAGGTTTTCGAAATTTCTATAATTTATATTAACTCCAACTCTGTCGAAGTCTCCTTTAGACATTTAAATTGTTTCCCTTAAAAAATTACCGTTGTTTTTTTTTGGATAATAGTCAAATATGAATATAGTCGGTACTCACAAACTATGTACTGCCAAGAATAAAAACCTACGATAAAATCTCTTTGACTGAAAACTCTCCAACTTGCTCGAGCGAATTTAACTGGTTTTCAGCCACCCTTGATTCTGTATATATGTATTCATCTTATCAGGGTAAACATCAACCTACATCCTAATATTGCTAAATTATAGAATTAAAGTTGTAGAAGTGATTATTACGAATCTATTCGTGTTCGATGATTTAATTCAATGGAAATGTAAAAAAGAAAAAAAACAGACAATTAAACTTCATTATTGTTTTGAATGTTTTATCAGCATTCATCTAGTACATATAATATGTCGTAATGACCTTGATTCAGAGTACAAATATAACGTTCACTAAATATAAAGAACATAATTTGTCATGTTTTGAATTGAGAGAAAAATTTTAATCGTTATAAATGTTGTACCAAACATTCTTTAACGAACTCTTGATTATAGCTTATCAATTTTTATTTTGTATTAGAAAAATGAAAAAAAAACGGTTTTTTTTTTTGGACAACACCGAAAATAATCATATTGAACCATTTTCATCGAGTCCAACGACGTTCACGATACAGAGATTTTATTTTATGTGTAGATTTTTGAACAAAGTGTTAGATGCACTGATATCAGAGTAGATCAAAAGAAAAAAATCTGAAAGAAAACAGAGAAAGTGAAAATAATGAAGATCATCAAAACATAAAAGAGACTGCGCTAAAGTTACAGCTTTATTGGAATGCATCAATTATGAGATTTTATGGATCAATACTTTAAATGATAAAATAGAAATTGTTTAGATTTTCTTTCCTAGACGGACCATTAAAATTTCAAAAGGATAAAAACAATGAGTATCGTAGTACTGACTTCTATAGATTCCAGTGTATTTTCTAATATATTTTAATATAGCGCTAATCATTCATAAGCAATTGAAAGAATCATGAATGTGGACAAAAGAAGAGAAAAAGGAAACTAATTATATATACAGAACTGCTCAAAATTATAATTACATGGTAATTTTGGTGTGTGGGTTGGATGACGAGTGCTAAAATAAAAAAGTAAATAATAATTTGGGTAACTAATATTGTACTCTATCAATTGCATCATTTATAAATATTTCATACTTGGACTATGTAGAAAAGTTTTCAGGTATCAGAGCATTTTATAAGAGTTCGCTTTCAACAGTTCAATCTAAAAAAAAGCATAAAATTTTAAACAAAAATGAGAAGTTATTGTGATTATTCTTTTCTGTCGTTTTTTATAATGCTTCTAACTTTGTCAAGAAAATTAGTAGAAAAAAGGTGATGGCTGCACATTTTTTTCAGAATTCAGTAGTTGTTTAGATAGAAATATTTAAAAAAAACGAACTTTCATAGTTCAATTATATAACTTTGATATATGATACATCTGACAACGGACTTTATTGGTTGTTCAAATTAATATTTGTTTTTTTAGTTAATTATTCGACATCACACACTAAATCAAAATTACTTTGTACTTATAATTTCAAGTAGTACTGCATAGTTGTAGCAACCAATGTAAAAGTGTTTGAAAATATTATTTCTCAATAATAGAACGTTGCTTGAAATATAATTATTTTGCTTTTGAAAAAGTGCAATTTGAAGCGTATTCTTTAGACTGATATCAAAGAAACTGTGCAATTGCCGAAAGCATTTGTTTGACAATAAATACTAATCAAAGACATAAAAGTTGTAAATAACATACATTGTTTGAAATATATATTTTCCAGCAAAAGAGACGTTACATGAAAAAGATTTTTCGATTAATAGCATGACTAAAGCTCGAAGAGATGATTTGATAAGACTTGAAAAGCGTTATTCGTAATTATGTTGGATTTGAACCTTGAAATAGACGATAAAATAAATTCATCGATGAAACATATCTATAAATGAAGTTACAAAGATCTTTTAATCATTACTGTATATCAGAATTTTATTATAATAAATCGAAAATAAAAACTTTAATATCGACTATGAAAGAAATGGATCTTCAATTGTATTATTTGATAGAGCAATTACTTCTAAAAACCGATATTGATAATGAATACAATCTACTTCTCTATACAAAAGCCCAAATTACTACTCATCTAATAAACTTAGTTCTTAGTAGGATTATTTGATGGTTATTTTTAATATATTTTTGTTTTTAAAAAATGCTGCGAATAATTTAGCGGCATAATTCACTAATCAACTCTATTTTTTTTTCTTTTGATAGTCATATAACTTCTTCCATGTTCTCTTTTTCCTGCTGTTTTCCCTCACTATGCAATCACATGCAATGCTTTACTATAATTATAATTTTCTAAAATAGTCTTTTTTTTTTATCTTCTAAAAACAACATTCCTTTTAATTAATAAGATCTGGATAATTTTCAGATAGTTTTTACTCCTTTGGAAAAATATTTTATTTTCAATCCTTATCTGATTGATACATATGAATAAGTCTTAATTGAAATTCTTCATTTGTTTTTGAACAGATTACGATATTTTTTTTTCTTCATATGTATTTCAAGTCTTCTAGTTCATTACGATTGCTGTATTCCGGAAGGATGATCAGTTCTATTCACTTTAGCTGTTTGTGTTAATGTTCTTAATTGAAGAGTTGCTTGTATTTCTTGATGTCTTGTTTTACAAATAAATTTTTTCATTATTTTATATAATTCTTGACGAAACATTTTTCCACTTAATGTTAATAGATAAAATGTACATGAATGATTAAAAAATGATATTGTTCGAACAACTGTAATAAAAACATTGTCAGCTGCCTTAGTTAAATCATCTTTTAGAACATTCAGTGTTAATGTCGAATATAATTTTTGTACAGCATGTGGTACAGATGTGATTGTTACAAGAGTAACTTGTAAAAGAAGCATTAACATAAGTGTATGATCTTGATTATTTATATTTGGCATACGTCGACTAAATCTTGGTACAATACGACGAAGACGTCTTGTATTAACTATAGTCCATATACCAAAAAGTAACATTAATAAAGGTGGTGTAAGACTATAACCAATTAAATAAACACTATCATTAAATACACGATAAAAACCTGAACGTGCATCACATTGATGCTTTTGATCAATTTCATAAAATATAAGAACATGACTATAAAAAATAAGGCCAATTAATGTTGTAAAAAATATCATCCAACGTGCGACATTAAGACGTGCAAATGCACGTCGATGAGGATTTTGTGAACTTGACATTTTTCGATCCAAACAAGCAAGTACAATAAACCATGATGAAAGAGATTTAGCAGTAAAATATGTATAAAAACGTATTTTACAATAAAATAAATTATATTGACCGGGATCAATATCGAAACCATCAGAAAGTATACGTGATGGTAAAATAAAAAAGACAACAAAATAATTAGCTACTGTTGATGCTAAAAAATAAAGAACACATGAATTCTGACGAAATATGGGACGTGTAAATATTAATGTATTTAATGTTAAACCAGTTGTACCCAATAAAAATAATGCAATAAGACAATAACGAGAAAAGATTTCTTTAATAAGATCAAGCATTTCCAACTTTTGATAATCAGATTTAACATAAACTAATGATGTTTGATTCATTAATATATCATCTATATTTACAATAAGAAGAAAAAAAAACGAATATTTATTCAAAATAATTAACTCAGCAGGATAAATGTTCTCATATTGAAAAAAAAACACTACGTTGATTTTATTTTGAATAGTAAACAAAAAGATATATTTATTCCAACTGTTAGATTATTAAAATCATTGAATAGAAAAAAATTAATGAACCTTGCATCATATTTTATTCATATTTTGACATGAACTAAGTACAAATCTCAATAACAATAATATTATTAATATGTACTAATCGAAAAATATTCAATGTCAAATTCACCTTTGTTTTTGCCATAGAAAATGGAAGTTTAAGAATGCAATCTTTTTCTCTGCTCAGATAAAAGATTCAGTTAATCATAAGATATATACTAAAAGAGATAGAAATAATAAGGCAATCATTTCATATATGCTGTCGTACAATTGTTATTTTTGTTTTTTTTAACAATGTTTTTCTTCCAAGCTCTTCATATTCATCTACAAGTCACTATCTAAAAGTAGTTCATTTGCAAAGTGTCATTAGACAGAGATAAAAGATTTCTTATCAATGCATCTTATTTAAAAGGCATTCAATAGTCGTATTATTAGAAAACGTGATTTGTATTCCAGATAGAAACGTATAAACATGAATACCACTACTTCTTACTTCACATATACGCATAATCATTATTCACATA